TGGGGTGGCGGTGGGGGGGTGGGCAGGGATGACCAGCAGCAGCAAGCTGGGCTGGGGCGGGAGGCTGATGGCCCGTCCCTGGGCTGCGGTCTGTCGCGGACAGCCGGAAGCCAGCGGTGGCGCCCCTCGCCATGCCCTCCCCACCACGCCAGCCGCCCCGCCCTGCACTCGCTGCAGGCACGCATGTCGGCGGAGGGTATCCCGCAAGTGGCTGTGGTACTGGGCAGCTGTACCGCAGGGGGTGCCTACGTGCCCGCGATGGCGGACGAGAGCGTGATCGTGCGGTGAGGCGGTGCGGGACCGACAGTACTGAGACGGTACTGGAGGGAAGGCAGGCCAGGAGCGCTCGTGCGCCGGCCCTGTCCGGCCCAGTGGGACGCCTGCACCCGGCTGGCTTCCTCAACCGGTGCTCCACGACCTTCCTTGCATTCTTCCTACCGTTTCCTTTCTTCGCACCTTTTCCTTTCTTCTCGCCTTCTCCTTTCTTCCATTGCTGTGCAGGGGCAACGGTACCATCTTCCTGGGAGGCCCGCCGCTGGTCAAGGCCGCCACCGGGGAGGATGTGACTGCCGAGGAGCTGGGAGGCGCCGAGCTGCACTGCTCCACCAGCGGTGCGCGTGGGGCGGGCCGGGGCACCACAGCAGGCAGCTCCAGCGATTTGCCCAGCTGCTGCCGCTGCTGCAGCGCCGCCCTGGCGGAGCAGCGCGGAGGTGGAGCAGCAGCTGGGGTGTGTGGCTGGATGTCTTGGCAGCAGGGGCGGCTGCTGGACGACCCCACACGCGTCCCGCACACAAACACAAAAGGGACGGCCAAAGGACGGCCATTCCATCCTGGCTGGTTGTCCCGCCCGGCTGCTCGCTCGTGCATGTGCCTACCATCTGCTTTCCCGGCTGCCCATGTGGCATGCAGGCGTGACCGACCACCTCGCCGAGAACGAGCAGCACGCCCTCAGCCTGGCCCGCAGCATCCTGTCTCACCTCAACTCCCCACCGCACCCGGCGGCGGCGGCGGCGGCAGCGGCGGCGGCGCCCTGGCACGGGCAGCCGCCGACGCCTGCCCGCGCCGCCGGCGGCTGGCAGGAGCCGCGGTTCCCACCAGATGAGCTGCGGGGTGCGCCCCTGCTGCTGCCACCAGCCGCCAGTTTGCTGCTGCTGCCTCCGGGGCTTGCCTGCAAAGCACACACACACACACACACACTGGCGCTTCCCCGCCTGCGCCCACCCTGTCCACCACCTGGCAGGCGTGATCCCGGCCGACCCCAAGCAGCCCTTTGATGTGCGGGCGGTGCTGGCGCGGCTGCTGGATGGCTCCCGCTTCCACGAATTCAAGGCGCAGGTGGGTGGGTGGGCTGGTGGGTGTGGATGGCACCAGTGGGTGGCGTTGGTTTGTGTGTGGGTGGGTGGGTGGGAGGGTGGGTAGATGGCAGGGTGGGTGGGGTTGGTGTGTGGGTGTGTGGGTGGGAGGTGGCGGGGGAGTGTTTGGTAGGTGTGTGAGGCAGGTCTCTGCCACCACTGGTGCTGGCGGGGCGAGGTGCCCCTCACAACGCAACGCCGGCAGCGCTGCCTGCCCCCGCTGCTGCTCATTCCGGCTTTGGCTGCCCCTGGCCCGCAGTACGGCCGCACCCTGGTGACCGGCTTTGGCAGCCTGTACGGCATGCCCGTCGGCATCGTGGCAAACAACGGTGCGTGGGTGACGGCGGCGGCGGCGGCGCGGCGCCGGGCTGGCGCCTCGGCGTGGCAGCAGTGCGCCAGCGGGGTGCTGGGCAGGGGCCTAGCTTGGCAGCCTGCCTGCTCCCGCCCCATTTCACCAGCTCTTACCAGCATCACCGCCAGCCCGCGCCAGCGCACGTGCAGTCCCACACCACCAGCACACACACGCCAGCACACGCCAGCACATGCCAGCACGCACCCGCCACGCCACCCAGCTGAGGCCCTCCCTGCCCTCCCGCTCGCCTCGCCGCGCGTGCCCGCAGGCATCCTGTTTTCTGAGGCCGCACTCAAGGGCGCACACTTTGTGCAGCTGTGCAGCCAGCGAGGCATCCCCCTCATCTTCCTCCAGGCACGCACAAGCGCCTCGCCCCGCCTTGCCCCGCCTGCGCGGCCGTGCCCGTTGCCAGCCGGCAGCGGCGGCGGCTTCTCTCTCCTCCCAGCCGCG